TACAATACCGTATACCTTGACATAATGTATGTCTTGAAGAAGGGACATACAATACCGTATACCTTGACATAATGTATGTCTTGAAGAAGGGACACACAATACCGTATACCTTGACATAATGTATGTCTTGAAGAAGGGACATACAATACCGTATACCTTGACACAGACACATAAGGTATGTTTTGAAGAAGGTAGAAGCACAATACCGTATACCTTGACATAATGTATGTCTTGAAGAAGGACATACAATACCGTATACCTTGACATAATGTATGTCTTGAAGAAGGACATACAATACCGTATACCTTGACATAATGTATGTCTTGAAGAAGGGACATACAATACCGTATACCTTGACATAATGTATGTCTTGAAGAAGGGACATACAATACCGTATACCTTGACATAATGTATGTCTTGAAGAAGGGACATACAATACCGTATACCTTGACATAATGTATGTCTTGAAGAAGGGACATACAATACCGTATACCTTGACATAATGTATGTCTTGAAGAAGGGACATACAATACCGTATACCTTGACATAATGTATGTCTTGAAGAAGGGACATACAATACCGTATACCTTGACATAATGTATGTCTTGAAGAAGGGACATACAATACCGTATACCTTGACATAATGTATGTCTTGAAGAAGGGACATACAATACCGTATACCTTGACATAATGTATGTCTTGAAGAAGGGACATACAATACCGGATACCTTGACATAATGTATGTCTTGAAGAAGGGACATACAATACCGTATACCTTGACATAATGTATGTCTTGAAGAAGGGACATACAATACCGTATACCTTGACATAATGTATGTCTTGAAGAAGGGACATACAATACCGTATACCTTGACATAATGTATGTCTTGAAGAAGGGACATACAATACCGGATACCTTGACACAAGGTATGTCTTGAAGAAGGTAGATACAATACCGTACACCTTGACATAATGTATGTTTTGAAGAAGGGACATACAATACCGTATACCTTGACACAAGATATGTCTTGAAGAAGGACAGATACAATACCGTATACCTTGACATAATGTATGTCTTGAAGAAGGGACATACAATACCGTATATACCTTGACATAATGTATGTCTTGAAGAAGGGACATACAATACCGTATACCTTGACATAATGTATGTCTTGAAGAAGGGACATACAATACCGTATACCTTGACATAATGTATGTCTTGAAGAAGGGACATACAATACCGTATACCTTGACATAATGTATGTCTTGAAGAAGGACATACAATACCGTATACCTTGATACCTTGACATAATGTATGTCTTGAAGAAGGACACATACAACACCACCGTATACCCTTGACATAATGTATGTCTTGAAGAAGGGACATATAACATAATGTGTGTCGTATGTCTTTGACATAATGTATGTCTTGAAGAAGGACATACAATACCGTATACCTTGACATAATGTATGTCTTGAAGAAGGACATACAATACCGTATACCTTGACATAATGTCATGTCTTGAAGAAGGACATACATATCGTATACTGCAATACCGTATACCTTGACATATAATGTATGTCTTGAAGAAGGGACATACACATACCATGTCATACTATACCATAATGTATGTCTTGAAGAAGGACAGTACAATACATTATACCTTGACACGGTATGTATGTCCTTGAAGAAGACACATACTTGTGTCAAGGTATCCGTATTGAAGAAGGGAGGATGTCCTTCTTCAAACGTATGTCTTGATGTCAAGGTATACATTGTATAAGGTACCTTCTTCAAGACATAATGTATGTCTTGAAGAAGGGACATACAATACCGTGTATGTTCTTGAAGAAGGACATTACAAGAAGGTATACCTTGACATAATTATGTATGTCTTGTCTTACTGAAGAAGGGACATACAATACATTCTTGAAGAGGACATACAACACCGTACACCTTGACATAATGTATGTCCTTGAAGAAGGGACATACATACCTTGACATAAGTATGTCTTGAAGAAGATATACAATGGTATTCCTTGACATAATGTATTCATACAATACCGGATACTTGACAAGATATAGTTGAAGATACAATACCGTATTCCTTGACATAATGTATGTCAAAGAACGATACAGATACATATACAGACGTTGACATAATGTATGTCTTGAAGAAGGGACATACAATACCGTATACCTTGACATAATGTATGTCTTGAAGAAGGGACATACAATACCGGATACCTTGACATAATGTATGTCTTGAAGAAGGGACACACAATACCGTATACCTTGACATAATGTATGTCTTGAAGAAGGGACATACAATACCGTATACCTTGACATAATGTATGTCTTGAAGAAGGGACATACAATACCGTACACCTTGACATAATGTATGTCTTGAAGAAGGGACATACAATACCGGATACCTTGACATAATGTATGTCTTGAAGAAGGGACATACAATACCGTACACCTTGACATAATGTATGTCTTGAAGAAGGGACATACAATACCGGATACCTTGACACAAGATATGTCTTGAAGAAGGTAGATACAATACCGTATACCTTGACATAATGTATGTACTGAAGAAGGAATATACAATACGGTATACCTTGACATAATGTATGTCTTGAAGAAGGGACATACAATACCGTATACCTTGACATAATGTATGTCTTGAAGAAGGGACATACAATACGGTATACCTTGACATAATGTATGTCTTGAAGAAGGGACATACAATACCGTGCACCTTGACATAATGTATGTCTTGAAGAAGGGACATACAATACCGGATACCTTGACACATAAGGTATGTCTTGAAGAAGGTAGATACAATACCGTATACCTTGACATAATGTATGTACTTAAGAAGGAACATACAATACCGTATACCTTGACATAATGTATGTCTTGAAGAAGGGATATACAATACCGTATACCTTGACATGACGTCTGTCTTGAAGAAGGGATATGCAGTATCGTATACCTTGACATAATGTATGTCTTGAAGAAGGGACATACAATACCGTATACCTTGACATAATGTATGTCTTGAAGAAGGGACATACAATACCGTATACCTTGACACAGACACATAATGTATGTCTTGAAGAAGGTAGATGCAATACCGTATACCTTGACACAATGTATGTCTTGAAGAAGGGACACACGATACCGTATACCTTGACATAATGTATGTCTTGAAGAAGGGACATACAATACCGTATACCTTGACATAATGTATGTCTTGAAGAAGGGACATACAATACCGGATACCTTGACATAATGTATGTCTTGAAGAAGGGACATACAATACCGTATACCTTGACATAATGTATGTCTTGAAGAAGGGACACACAATACCGTATACCTTGACATAATGTATGTCTTGAAGAAGGGACATACAATACCGTATATCTTGACACAGACACATAAGGTATGTCTTGAAGAAGGTACATGCAATACCGTATACCTTGACATAATGTATGTCTTGAAGAAGGGACACACAATACCGCATACCTTGACATAATGTATGTCTTGAAGAAGGGACATACAATACCGTATACCTGACATAAGGTATGTCTTGAAGAAGGTAGATACAATACTGTATACCTGACATAATGTATGTCTTGAAGAAGGGACATACAATATCGTATACCTTGATATAATGTATTTCTTGAAGTATGTATCTTGTTTTTCAGACTTTCATCGGATGTTGTAATTACATTATTTTCTTAAAGGTTATTATTTTTACTACAAGGTGTTCTCAGATTTGGTATACAATCAACTCTTAATATGGCGATCATAATTTAGATGCGAATTCAATTAATTCCTTTTTAAATCAGTCTAAGTAAACTTAGGCTCAGTATTATTATAGTAGTATTACAGTATTATAGTACAGCAGTGTAATGAATAGTACTGAGCCTAAGTTTACTTAGACTGATTTTTAAATATAAATAATATTCCATGGACAGAATGATTCTACTATCATGGTTTTGTCTCCATTAATGATAAATGTAAATAATGATGTTGATTTCACAGACTGACAGTTTCTGTACATTTGAAAAGGAAAGACGCATGAAAGTTGAGATCGCTTTATGCAAGTGGGTGTGTTTTGTTTTCGATCGTAATGACTGTCAGTAAAATATGCTTAAATGGAATGGACAGGGCGTCGGATACATAACGAGGAACTCAAGAAACCACCTACTGTGATAATATTTGTCAGTTGAAAGTTTTGGGAATACGTTAATACAACTGATGGGTATCAGTTTCCGTAGGTAATAAAGAATTGTTCATGTGTATATTCAAACAAAGATGTTTATTATCAAGAGTGGCCAGCTACCGTGACTGCTTCCAAATATTTACGCACATATTCAACCTATGCACTTGACATAATGCCGGAAACCTACCTACGAGACTTGCCCATCGGCTCATCTGCGTAGAGCACTGACAAAAATTTCGATGTGGTATTGCTGGTTTTAACCTACAATTATATAGAAGATCGAAGAGTGCACATATCGCAATTGTCAAGTGTCCACATTGCCTTAATAAGTTAGAAAATGAATATCATGTATTACTAGAATGTCCATTGTACAACGATCTACGGAGAAAATATCTACCATGTTATTATTACACCGACCCCAACTATCACAAGTTTGTAACTCTTCTGAATTCAAAATCAGTTAATATATTAGTACGTTTAGCTGTGTGTTGTAAAAAAAGTACCATCACATACAGTTCATACGTGAATCAATGTCCAGGCGCTCCGGACTCTCTACTATTATGAATGTCGATGTGCTGTTGGCCTCATGGTCACCCATACAAATAAAATCATCTGTGTCTGTATCTGTGTCTGTGATATCAGTTTCCCAACACCATGTACATAGAACATCAATAACTTCAAAGATAACAATACAATTTAATAACATTTGTATGATACAGTATGCAAGAGCAAACACCACATATATTACGTAGGGACAGTTTGTATAGATTCATAATGGCACTTTTTCAATTTCATAAATAGCACTGGTGTAAAGTCGGAAATATCACAAATTTATAGTTCGAAAGATGACAGCAGGTTACTGAATGTCTATAACTTCAGCCATCCTTGGCTTTCATGGCGGCTAGTTTGGCGGAAGAAGTGACGCACCCAGTAGAAGAGCCTGGCGATTTTTGACTTCTTTTTTGGCTTTGCGCTTCCAGTGACAACACTGGCATTGGACGTGTTGGGGAGTGTAGACAGTGTCAGACTTGCAGAACTCATTCCTGCAAAACACACATCGATGGCTACTGGTGTCTGGCAACTATCTTCCTTGGCAGACGATATGGCGGCCGTTTCGAAATCTTTGAAGGTAGTTTCCCGCTTAGCGAGATGTTTGTCGTCTGTCGACTTGGTAATGTGTGTGGTAGGCAAAGTGGAATGGCGGCGACTAGTCTTGGTTCGTCTGGACAGGACTGGGTGGAGCGTGGACTGAATCAGTCGTCCCTTGGCGAAGAAACAGAACATCCTGTGGTTCAAGATACAACAATTACACGAAACACGTGTTCTTACATGAAACGCATGTCCAATATGAACAGGTCATTTTCTCACATTATATCGCGTAAAATACATTTCGATTTCAGAGGAGGATTTTTGGGTACAGATTTTTATAATCTATTGTTACACTATGAAGATCCGGGTTAGAAATGATTTTCGTACGAGGCGGCTAACGGGATCGGGTGGTCAGGCTCGCTGACTTGGTTGACATGTCATCGGTTCCCAAATGCGTAGATCGAGGTTCACGGTGCTGATCACTGGATTGTCTGGTCCAGACTTAATCGTTTAAAAAACATATATCGGGAATGTTGTTGTGTGCGGCGTTAAACAACAAATACACACACACAAACCTCAAACATAACCACACGTACAGTCCGTTTGAGTCAGAAACGGACCGATGAATTGCAAATTTTATCATTGTACAAAATTGCCACATAAATATAAATAGTATACATGTTATCATTTACTAATACCCAACAGCTTTCTTATAATGTCTTTCAGTAGCATTTAGAATCTAAACACTGCCAGTTCACCTGATGAAGGGACCTGGAATGGTCTCGAAACGTTGTGAGAGAAATTAAAAAGAAGTTTAATCCATAAAAATATCTTGGACAGCTTTCTTATATTTGAAAATTTTCCGGACTCTACCAAAAACGTTGTTTAGGAAACTATCATCATTGAAAACGCAAAAGTTGTTATCTGTCGCGGCGGGGTGAAACCGCAGAAACGGAACAGCCAGTATCTCGACGTGCACGGGATACACATGCCTGATGAAAAATGAATTTGAATGCTGACGTGAAACAGTTGATGATTAAAGTGTACGATTTTTTCCGTGCTGAAGCCGAAAGGGGCACACCATTTTATGCCATTAATAAATTCCATAAGCGGGCAGCAAAATCTTTAGGAGTATAAGCAAGGGTACTGACAAATGTTCTGTAACACAAACATTGTGAGGGTGATGCGAAGCAGGTAGGAGTCGTGTCAAAATCACACAAATTAAAACATTTGGACAACTTTCAAAAGAACCTTGTAAGGCGGTCTATCAACAAGCTCTATTCTGACAACAAATTCATGTCGCTGAAAATATTAAAAAAGCTTTTGAAGCAAGAACACAACCTCAGAGTATCAAAGTACACACTCTGGCGACTCTTACACTCTTTCGGGTCTCGTTATAAGAAAATTTCGGGGGAGAACTAATTTTCTCAGGGTTATAAAGAAGAAGCGCGAGGAAGGGTTCGAGCCAGTGTACTTGGACGAGACCTGGGTCAATGCCTCTCACACTGCCAGCAGTCAGTGGGTACCCGATGGGGGTGATAAGGGGTCACGTAGAAAGCTGCCTCTAGGGAAAGGAGAGAGACTAATCATTCTCCATGCTGGTTGCTCCAGCAAAGGCTTTCTCCCAGGCTGCGACTTGGTATTTAGGGCAAAGTCCACAGATAACAGAGACTACCATTCCGAGATGAATGGTGCGGTTTTCCTCGATTGGGTTAAAAACAAGTTGGTGCCAGCTCTACCAGAGAAGTTTTTTTATCGCAAAGGACAATGCCCCATACCACAGCGTGCAGGACCCCGATGGTAAAGCCCCGACATCGAACAGTCGAAAAGGTGATATGATATCATGGCTGGACAAATTTCAGATCGCACGGCCTTCAAAGGCAACGAAGCCTCAGCTATATGTGATCATAAAACCCCACAAAGGTGAACCTTTCTACAAAGTTGACAGTTACATAAAAAGTAAGGGTCAAGATATTCTGCGACTTCCACCCTATCACTGTGACCTTAACCCCATTGAAATGATATGGGGTATTGTCAAAGGAGATGTTGCCAGATCAAACACAACTTTTAGATTACGTGACGTAGAGGTTTTGGTTAAAGAATCCCTTAAAAAAATCACGACTGAAACTTGGCAAAACTGTGTCAACAAGGTAGCTAACGCCATTGAACAAGGTTACTGGTCTCGGGATGGCTTCCAACAGGCAACTGTGGCACCACTTGTCATCCCTTTAAGTCGTGACTATGACACTACGACGGACGATGAACCGACAGGTCTCCCGGAATAGCTTTTGAGATGTCCCCAGCCATGATTGGCTGTTCCTTTTCTACGGTTTCACCCCGCCGCGACAGATAACAACTTTTGCGTTTTCAAGGATGATAGTTTTTCTGAAACAACTTTTTTGGTGGAGTCCGGACAATTTTCAAATATAAGAAAGCTGTTGGGTATTAGTAAATGATAACATGTGTATTATTTATATTTATGTGGCAATTTTGTACAATGATAAAATTTGCAATTCATCGGTCCGTTTCTGACTCAAACCGACTGTAAAATCAATATGATTGGGGAGTATAGTGGAAACGGTTCTATATAAACTCTCTGCTTGCAGTATAGAATTTGTGTCGATGGTTCAGAATGCCTACCACCGCCGTCATATAGCTGGAATATTGCCGATTGCCGCGTAACACTAAACTCACTCACTCACTCACTCAGAATGCCTACCATAACTTCCTGTATACCATCGTTGATCAGGTGAGAATTACGTACACCGAACAACTCCTCCCCATCTGAAAATAAGATTTACTACAATCACGTCATTCTTCACAACTTGCGAAGTGTTATTTATTAAAGGGGAAGTGTATACTTCGAACTCGCAGGGTTTGTTTTTGTTATGCAAAACTAAACGGAATTTTAGAATTTACTAATATCAATGTTTAAAAATATAGATTAATTTTTCTCACATTGAAAGTACAACGCTCTATATAAGCTTTACGATATATGATATGGCATTATAATCCCATTGTTTTCCGAGCTAAACAGGCGAGAGTTAACATGTAACGTGAGTTTATAAAGGCTTCAAGTTCGGAAAGTTTGCTTCGGCATTCGTGTTTTCATTTTTCCAAAACATTTTTAGCGATATTAGGATCCTCGACGACGTTTCAGAATGATCATTGGCGGTCTGATAAAAAAAATGATAAAAAAATAACCGTGATCACTTTTCTTATAAATTTAGTTCTCCGAATAAACATATATTTGATAGTTACATTTCAAAACGTACACTAGATAACGTAGTGAATGGTGTATGGTTTAATCTGTCAAGCGTATGGAGATGTACGATGCATGTGGTTTTCTGTAAAGTTGCCTTCCCTGCAATGAGTGGAGAACATCACAGAAGAGGGAATTTCCCTCAGAATTCAAGTTTGCGACGTGAATTTATAGTCGTGATGTTAAAGGAGGGATATATATATATTAAGATTTATATATGAAAGCAGCAAACTTAGACACATTCACCGATGGCTTTGTACATCTTGTGCATACGTTTTTGAAAGACAACTGATTTAAGTTTAATGTTATACAATTTTATTACACTGTAGGCAGAAAAAAGAACGTTGTAACACTCTTTGCACAATATATACGTTATTAAAACTGCGACGTCAAAAGACTGTGTGGCACTGAGCGGTACACAGTGCCACCTGATAGCTTGGAACAGTGAGGGTTAAACAGTAGGCTGTGCATCGAGACACAAGAACCACACGCCTGTACCTACACCACGTGAAATAATTCTAATTAAATCATTCGTTTATCAATGGCACATGTAATGTCATAATGCAAGGGACATAAGCCATACATGGTGTGTTTTATATGTGAGTGTGTATGGTTTTACACTGCTTTTAGCAATATTACAGCAATATCACGATGGGGGACACCAGAAATTGGGGAATCGAACCTGGGTTTTCGGCGTGACGAGCGAGCGCTTTACCCACAATTATACCCCACCACCCCTGTGTTTATATGTGCCAAATATGAAAGGATATAATGCAAAAGATACATTATTTACTACTAGATAAATAATTTCATGTAGATAAAGTGCAAGACAGAAATGTGTATTTTGGTGTAATCTTGACCGGTAGGGCATTACATCGTAGAAAGTTGAGTAAATTTGAGGTAAGGAAAGAAAAATACCATACTTCCTTCACATATATTATTAGTACATGTAGGTTCAACTAGGTTTTGAATTATATTTTAATTATTATAATTACAATAATGTTAAAACTGTTAGATGCTTGATTGGCATTTTAGAAGTTGATATTTGATGAACATAGAGATTCTTTCTGGGTTACATCTTCTTTTTTGTTCATTGCAAATACAGCAAACATGTCACATTTTCCACTTACCTTCCCTCGTCCTGTGAACCATAGCTGAAGACAATCAGAGCCGTAATTGTGACGTAACAATGGCGTGACGTGACAAGAGCTGTAACGTATATGTTACCGGTAGCAGATGCTGAAGAGTAATGACATCACACACAGGTTGGCTGCGACATTTATAAACAAAGCGCGGACGTTCGAGAAGACACCGAGTAACTGTTGCTAAGATTGCGGTCCCGCTAGCCAGTGGCTAGTAAAAATCCAGTCAGGCCAGTAAATGTCTAAGTCACAGGCCCGAGTGGCTAGTTAGTTTTCATGGGGTAATGTTTTAAAAGAATTATCACTGTCTCCGCCTTGTTAAGTTATAATGCACTTTTAAATCATGCAAGACTATGACCTGATAAATGATGGTATTTTAACGTTTTGTAATCTTCTGCTTAGTTTCTACATTCAATTTTTTAGCTAGTGAATTATTTTGTGGGCTGGTAATTTCCAGGCATAGCTAGCCCGACTGGCTAGCAAACGTTGGAAACTATTTCGCACACTGCCCCATCTATTTAAAAGAACTATATGGTGACTACCTAAACTGTGAGGTGATGGAACAGTGACATAAACAGTGACATGAACAGTCCCAAGAAGTAGCAGTTCAAGTCTTAGCAGGACAGATTAAACTACAGCTGGATCGTGTTCTTTAACTTCTGAGTTGTGTATATTGATTTCCAAACATTGTGAGTTAATAATATTGCTTTATGCCAGGCACAGTAGTTACTCCATATAACTTATCAGATGTGTGCAACATTTATCATAACTTGATCCCTATACACCTGGCCAAAGAGCTGACTGGTGAAGACTTTCCTGTTGACAGATTGACAAGCTTCTTCTGAAGAATCATAGTCACACAAACACATTTGAACAATTTTATTGAAACAATAGACATCAAGAAAACAATCAAGAAAAAATTATATCACAAATAGACACATGGCAAACTTTGATAGGTCAGTACACATTAGTTTGCACTCCATTGGGCTATTTTCCTTTTCTGCTGGAACTTAATAAATTCAACCAGTGGCCTGTTTTAATGGAGAAAGACATAATAATATGCCTTTTGAAAATATATATCCCCTACAGCATTATAATATTTATCTTGACAAATGATAAAACTTTCCCTGGTTTCCCAAAACCCAAAGGTAGCTCGCAAATAAATCAAAGATTTGTGTTCTTATGAATAACTCTTGAAATAAAGTAGTTACCAAATCATACACAGAAATATTCACAACATTTAACAAAATGCATATTTTCAAATATATATGTCATTACCGCTTCTGATTTACATATTCTGGATAAACTGTCCAACTGGCAACCTCTTAAAATTATTGTTACTGGTCATAAAAACTTGGTAACATGAAATGTGAGATCATCTTTGTCTGCCTGTCTTGAAAGGACGGTAGACATGGCAGGGGTGGATACAGCTTTTTCATAAAGAGGGGGGTGCATGGGAAAGCAGTATTGCTGATATTTTGATTTATACCATTGGCACAATTAACAAAAAGGGTTCTAGTGTCTACCTGCTTTTCCAGTGAAGTAGTTAAGTCCAGTTTTACGCCACTTCTAGTACTCTTCCTGCTTTTTCCAATATTCCGATTTAACTGCTATTTCAGCTCTCAGCAATATTCCATCAGTAGGTACTACTCCAGGTTTTAGCAATACCATCAAAAATGGGCCTCATACATTATACCCATGTAGGGAATCAAACCCAGTCTGTCACTGTGACAAGCAAATGCTTTCACAACTCAACCATGATGCCCCTATGGTTCCAAAATAATAAATAAAAGAAAGTAGGAACAGTGAGTGCCTGACAGACTGACTGAGTTTGGTTTTACCCCGCTTTTAGCAATATTCTAGCAACATCACGGCGGTGGATACCAGAAATGGGCTTCAGACATTGTACCAATGTGGGGATTCGAACCCAGGTCTCCGGTGCGACGAGCCAACGCTTTAACCACTAGGCTACCCCACCGCCCCGGAACAGCGAGTGATTGAGTTTAGTGTTACGCTGCACTCAGCAATATTACAGCTATATGGCACCAGTCTGTACATAATTGAATCTGGACCAGACAATCCAGTGATCAACAGCATGAACATCGATCTACACAACTGGAATACGATGACATGTGTCAACCAAGCCAGAGAGAATGATTATCTGATCCCGTTAGTCGCCTCTTACGACAAGCATGTATTACTGAAGACCAATTCTAACCCGGATCTTCACGGGTCAGTAGAAATATCCACATGTCATATCATCTTAGATCTCAGATATCATCTTAGATCCAGGGTAAAATACCTCCATTCTATTATGAACAATACTTCCCACCTCTGAAATCCGCCATTTTATTTGGAAAATTATTCAAGCACTTGAGCCCATTCATCATCATATTCATTTCAAAATTGATTTAATTGATGCAAATGATTTTTTTTTTTCTTTTTCATTTAAAGTTTTATTTCAAAGTAAATTCAATTGATGGAAATGGTGCTGTAATAGCAAATAGAGTCCAGGTAGTTTTTTTGCAAGGTAATATAGACAAAACACCCTGAACAAGGGGCTATGATAATAACACTGATGACATCCATCTCTGATGGTACTGACTGACTGAGTATGATTTTATGCTGTTTTCAGCAATATCCCAGCAATACCATGGCAGGGGACACCAGAAATCGGCTTCACACATTGTACCCATGCAAGGAACTGAACCCAGGTCTTCGGCATGACAAGTGAAGATTATACTGAAGCTGTAATGGTCATGTAAATGTCATTACACAATAAGATTATTTTGAATGGTCATGACACAAGAGAAGCGAAAATGTGTGTGGTTTTACACCACTGCAATATCACAACATGGAAACACCACCTATAGAGTTTACAGTCTACAATGTAGAGATTTGTTGGTTGGTTTGTTCCACTTAGCAATATTTCAGCTATATGGTGATGGTCTGTAAAAAACAAAAATGGATCAACAGCATGAGCATCCATCTACGCAACTAGGATATGATGACATGTGTCCACCAAGTCAGCGACCCTTACCACCCGATCCCGTAGTTGCCTCTTACTTAGGTTACTGAAGACCAATTCTAACCTTGATCTTCATGGATCCTACAATGTAGAAGCAAACACAGTCCTTCAGCATGCCAAGCATCCACTGCCCCCCCCCACCCCATGGTTCCAAAATATGAGTGAGTGAGTTGAGTTTTATGCCACTTTTAGCAAAAGTGGCTTGATGTACCACCCTCCAAAATTTGAAGAAGATGAAAGTATTAGAACACATGTATCACTACAAACACCCTCCTTTAGGCCAGACAAATTTTATTTATTGTTTTACGGATCCGCCTGTCGTATTCTTTCAAGAATAACAAAAACTAATAAAATTAATTTTCCCCACTCAAAAAATAAAATCCTAATGTTTTTCGCCCCATATACACTTCATAAATTGCCAAAAGTAAAATACTTTGAGTATTTAGAACGAATATTACTTTGACTGGTGATTTTATATCTAATTTTTTCCCTCCTGCCTTTTGGTTTTTATGGGACAAAAATCTGTAAAACAAGAAATAAAATTGGTCTGGCCTTATCCCGAATCTGCAGAACATCAATACATGGAAAGACTATGATAAACGTAAGGTCTGCTAATTAAGAAACTAACCTGTAATGAGAAACATGTATCCTTAGCTTTTGTACTATTTATTTTCTTAATAGTCAAATGACATGATGACAGGATACTTTTAACAAAGCACAAACTGTATCTTTTAGCAAATGGCTACAAAATATAAAAAAGATCATTCACCAATGAAGTGGTGTCAGTCTAAAACGCACAAACAAATATCTAACAAAAATATACAATTTTCAACATTACCAATTTCATACCAATCGTATCTTTTACCCTCAACCTTAAAATCTGAAGAAACTTCGAGCGATTGAGATTGAATGGTTTTAGACTGATTTTAGCAATATCCAAGCAACAGCATCACAGATTAAACAATTTTTAAATTTAATTGCTCATCTCCTGTTCAAAATGTAAATTTAACAAATACAATACAATCTTTATTAATATTAATAAGCATAAAAATAATAGTCTGTGAATGGCATTTAGAAGTGATACACATAAAGGCGACAATTTTATGGATGTCAACTTCTTTATTGCGATGGACACAATGTTTTGAAGGATTTTCTGATGAAGGAGTAAGAATATACCTCGAAACGCTGTGTCCATCACAATAAAGAAATTGACATCCATAAAGTTCTTGATTTATAAAATAATAAGCCCCTCACATGAAGTAGATATTCCTTTGTCACTTTACACATAGTGACACTAATACAAAAAAACATGGATATATATCTACCCACCAAGCTAATTTCAGTAACGTCAGTGTTTATTGGTATTTGTCTTTATTTCTCCCTACTAACAGCACTATTTTAGCACTTTCCATTGAACACTGTTATGCTTGAGTACCACTTGTTATGTCTTCAAATTGTTGGAAGCAAAATCTTCAAATTATAAGACAAAAAAGACCTTATAAACAATAAGAAGAAATCCTTGTAAAATACATAAAAAATGGTGCCACGGCATTGTATCTCAACTTGAACTATAGTTAACCTTTTAAAACTAAAACAAATGCAGCCTCTTTATAAAAGCTGGCAGTATTGCTATTTAAGTATTTTCTGTATGACTAATAGTACAAACAATAATGATATTTTCACAATATTATTAAATCAGAAAAAAAGAACATCTAATTGTTGAAAATTTTGATGTCCAAATTGGCCACCTTGAACAAACTTGAAGCGCCTTATCTCAAACATGCACACAAAATGTCAGCTAAATCAATCTATCCATTTCAGAAAAGCTGAAATTGTATAGATTATAAATTTTAAAATTCCTAAATAGCAAAAGGCAGTTGTCAACATGATCGGTGTGAGAACTTTCAGGAATAAATAACAAATCTTTTTGAAATATGGCCCTGACAAACACTAAACAACTGTTTTGCTGTGGAAATAAAAAATATATAAAAAAATTATATGCATAATTCTTTAATAGCACAAGAAAACAGTTGACAACCTGTCTTCGTGTGTAAAGTTTCATGAGAGATAAACCATCAGTGTAAGAGATATGCTCTGGATAAACATACCATGAACAAACTCAAACTTGATCGTACAGAAACAAAAAGAAATATAATTCTAAAAATCCCTGAATAGCAGAAGGCAGTAGTCAACCTGGTGTGCATCTGTGTAAAGATGCATAAAAGCATACCCATCAGTTTTAGAAACAAGACATTGGAAATTTTAACTATAAATTGTACATTTATATACTTACCCTATCTCACGGTATGCACTTGCTTCGACACTGAGTGGAACGGTGTAAAGTTTTCTCCAAGGGCTCTCTTGTCCAATCGCCCAAGCACTCCATGCTGCTTCCCTGATAAGACAGCGTCCTAGTTGTCATTTACCGCATGCCGCACGCACCATTAGCTACCCACATGCAGAGATGCCAACCCTATTTTGGACCTAAGTGTAATACTGAAGGTCAAAAAGTGTAATGTGGACCTAAAAAGTGTAATACTTAAAACACTTACATAGTGAAAGGTGATAACTTTATAAAAAATACTTTTAAAAAGGTTTATTCACAAGAATAGGAAAGATTCTAGACAGAAATACACGTGACCAATCATTATGCAGTTCAATACATCAAAAATTGTTGGTCAGGTGACACAAAATACTTTAATTCCTTACAAGTTAATTTGAATGAGAGTAAGCGATTCCTATCGGTGTAAGGCCATTTCTGAACCCCTGCACTAGTGCGTTACGAAAAATATTCCCTGTGAAATTTTATCCAATTTATTGATTTTCGCAAAACGGGTAGAAAAGCGTAATTTTCACAGACTAAGTGTAATGGCGTAATTTAATGGTCAAAATCGTAATAATTATTACGCCCAAAGCGTAAGGGTTGGCATCTCTGCACATGACCACCTTTGAATAATCATTCTCGTTCTTGGAGCCACTAGGAAGCTGTCTTATAAGGGGAGCGACATGGAGTGCTTGGTCGAATGGACAAGAGAGGCCTTGGAGAAAACTTTACACCATTCCACTCAGTGTCGTAGCAACAGAGAGAAGTGCATACTGTGAAATAGGATAAGTTTTAAAAAAAATGATTACAAACTGAAAGACGGACAGACAGACAAACTGATAACTATATCCCCTAGAACATCATACTAAGGGGATAAAAAGAAAATTCATCATCAACATGTAGCATGTTCTGAACAATTAATAGCTCGATACAATGTTTACATTGAAAACTACTAAACAAAAAGCATTAAGGACTGGCTGAAAAGTTAGCACATGGTCTACTGATGTGAACATTTCAAGTTAGCACATGGTCTACTGAAGTGAACATTTCAATGAATTGTTTGGCACAGTCATTAATTCTCAAGGACATGACTCAAAGATGCCTTGTGCAGCCAACAAATCTACCCAATCTCTAAAATAGTAACAAACAAATAAGATTATCAAAAAAATAGTTCAATGAATCGCCAACAGATACAATTTATATGACATTCAACTGAATTTCTCAACACCATACCGATGTTCATAAAAGGCTGATTCTTTCATTACTTGAACAAAATGTTTCCGTTATACCATACCCACAAGATTATGTATTCTTCATTCTACCAGAATCTTATTGCAAACGTAGCACCAGTAAATCTCTCTGGTCTGAAATGTAACACTGACCCACAAAATACAGAACATCCTTTACATCAAAATAACACAACCAGTAGCTTCAACGCTATAGCCAGTAGAGTGAATGAGTTTAGTTTTAGTTTTATGCCGCACTCAGCAATATTCCAGCTATATGGTGGCGGTCTGTAAATGATTGAGTCTGAACCAGACAATCCAGTGATCAACAGCATGAACATCAATCTATGCCACTGGGATGTGATGACATGTGTCAACCAAGTCAGCGAGCCTGACCACCCGATCCCGTTAGTTGCCTCTAACGACAAGCATGGGTTACTGAAGATCAATTCTAACCCGGATCTTCACAGGTCCAATAGCCAGTAGAACCATCGGTGGATAGCATGAGCACTCTGCTGGGGGGGTACAATGATAGACAAAGAGCAAGAACACACAATTTCAGCCTGAACGTCTTTTTATTGTTTTTGTACATATCACTTGTACTTTCTACAAGCAAAGAGCTTAAGTTTTCTGGCATTAGACAGTTTATATTTTAAGTCTACCAGGCTTTATTAGTACTTTCTGCAAACCAGGGCCTAGATTTTTTAAGCTCTCTTAGCGCTAAGATAGTCGTAAGTGTAATACATTAACATTAACTTACGACTATCTTAGCTCTAAGGGGGCTTCGAAAATCTAGGCCCAAGAGTTTCAGTCTCCTGGTAACTGGTCATTTTTGTTTTAGGACAGGCAGGTTTAATTAGTACTTTCTACAAGCCAAGACATTAAGGCTGCAGTTTTCGAAACAGATATGTGTTTCCAACACCATGGATGACAATGTCACTCTCGGTTGACTTCATAGATGTCTAGTGGCAAGTCTGTACGAGATGGATACACAACCTTCAAGGTCCCTTCATGATCGATGACCCGGACCTGCTCCACAACAAGCTTCTGAATGGCACCAGCATCCCCTTCTCTGCTGTAAACAACCGTATCATCCTCCTTCGTGTCATCCCCCTTTGTAACATCCTCCTGGGGCGTCCCCACCCCCATCAGCAACATCTCCCTCAGCAGTTCATCAGCCACCTTCTTGCACACATCCAGGGATGAAGTACTGGTCACCTCCACCAGAATGTCTGTCGTCTCCTTGGAGATCTGAAACACAGCAGTGAAAGAGGAGCTTTTACCAGTAGACTCCATTGGTCAAATCCAAGTACAGTGAGACCTCGGATACCCGGACCCCAGATATCCGGAAACCTCGCCTTCCGGTCAAGTTTTAGAAAAAAACAATCTCTTACGTTATAAAAGTGACTGTCTATAACGGATATTCCGTTTCCGTTTCCGGACGGTACATTTTACAAACAAACCGGCTAAATCAACACAAAATTGACTCACCTATCCGCACGAAGCTTTGATCTACCGCTAACCGTGTGAAGGGAAGTGCGAGAGTCCCATGTGTTTTGACACGAGACATGGTCGGCTAATCCGGATTAATGATCATCAAGGTATTGGTGGTGATTAGAAGGCCTAGCTGACACTGAGTTAACCATTGAGTTCTAACTGTTAAGTTGTTTATTCAGTCACAGCAATAAGAGTGCAGTGTGTCGATATTCAAGTCAAGTCTTTCAATTGTTTCGGAAGTGATTTCAACCCCGAAGTGTATGCTCGCTACAGATTCAACACTAAAGCCTGGATGACATCTGACCTGTTCAGCGATTATTGGTCTACTTTTGATAGACAGATGAGGTCGCGTGGTAGGCGTGTCATACTGCTTTTAGACAATGTCGTCTGGGAGGATCAGGCAGTGAAAGATCCAGATATCCGATATTCAATTATCCGGACGATTTAGGTAAAACGAATGTGTCCGGATATCCGAGGTCTCACTGTAGTCTGCAGCTCATTGTTTGTTTCTTTATTTAACGCCCCTCAGCAATATTCCAGCTATATGATGACAGTCTGTAAATACTCGAAGTCTGGACCAGACAATCCAGTGATCAACATCATGAGCATCAATCTATGCAATTGGAACACAATGACGTGTCAACCAATTCAGCGAGTCTGACCACCGATCCCATTTGTTGCCTCTTACAACAAGGCCTGAAGGTCAAAAAGTGTAATGTGGACCTAAAAGTGTAATACTTAAAACACTTACATAGTGAAAGGTGATAACTTTATAAAAATACTTTTAAAAGGTTTATTCACAAGAATAGGAAAGATTCTAGACAGAAATACACGTGACCAATCATTATGCAGTTCAATACATCAAAAATTGTTGGTCAGGTGACACAAAATACTTTAATTCCTTACAAGTTAATTTGAATGAGAGTAAGCGATTCCTATCGGTGTAAGGCCATTTCTGAACCCCCTGCACTAGTGCTAAGCGAAAAATATTCCCTGTGAATTTTATCCAATTTATTGATTTTCGCAAAACGGGTAGAAAAGCGTAATTTTCACAGACTAAGTGTAATGGCGTAATTTAATGGTCAAAATCGTAATAATTATTACGCCCAAAGCGTAAGGGTTGGCATCTCTGCACATGACCACCTTTGAATAATCATTCTCGTTCTTGGAGCCACTAGGAAGCTGTCTTATAAGGGGAGCGACATGGAGTGCTTGGGCGAATGGACAAGAGAGGCCTTGGAGAAAACTTTACACCATTCCACTCAGTGTCGCAGCAACAGAGAGAAGTGCATACTGTGAAATAGGATAAGTTTTAAAAAAAATGATTACAAACTGAAAGACGGACAGACAGACAAACTGATAACTATATCCCCTAGAACATCATACTAAGGGGATAAAAAGAAAATTCATCATCAACATGTAGCATGTTCTGAACAATTAATAGCTCGATACAATGTTTACATTGAAAACTACTAAACAAAAAGCATTAAGGACTGGCTGAAAAGTTAGCACATGGTCTACTGATGTGAACATTTCAAGTTAGCACATGGTCTACTGAAGTGAACATTTCAATGAATTGTTTGGCACAGTCATTAATTCTCAAGGACATGACTCAAAGATGCCTTGTGCAGCCAACAAATCTACCCAATCTCTAAAATAGTAACAAACAAATAAGATTATCAAAAAAATAGTTCAATGAATCGCCAACAGATACAATTTATATGACATTCAACTGAATTTCTCAACACCATACCGATGTTCATAAAAGGCTGATTCTTTCATTACTTGAACAAAATGTTTCCGTTATACCATACCCACAAGATTATGTATTCTTCATTCTACCAGAATCTTATTGCAAACGTAGCACCAGTAAATCTCTCTGGTCTGAAATGTAACACTGACCCACAAAATACAGAACATCCTTTACATCAAAATAACACAACCAGTAGCTTCAACGCTATAGCCAGTAGAGTGAATGAGTTTAGTTTTAGTTTTATGCCGCGACTCAGCAATATTCCAGCTATATGGTGGCGGGTCTGTAAATGATTGAGTCTGAACCAGACAATCCAGTGATCAACAGCATGAACATCAATCTATGCCACTGGGATGTGATGACATGTGTCAACCAAGTCAGCGAGCCTGACCACCCGATCCCGTTAGTTGCCTCTAACGACAAGCATGGGTTACTGAAGATCAATTCTAACCCGGATCTTCACAGGTCCAATAGCCAGTAGAACCATCGGTGGATAGCATGAGCACTCTGCTGGGGGGGTACAATGATAGACAAAGAGCAAGAACACACAATTTCAGCCTGAACGCCTTTTATTGTTTTGTACATATCACTTGTACTTTCTACAAGCAAAGAGCTTAAGTTTTCTGGCATTAGACAGTTTATATTTTAAGTCTACCAGGCTTTATTAGTACTTTCTGCAAACCAGGGCCTAGATTTTTAAGTTTTCTTGGCTAAGATAGTCGTAAGTGTAATACATTAACATTAACTTACGACTATCTTAGCTAAGGGGCTTCGAAAATCTAGGCCCAAGAGTTTCAGTCTCCTGGTAACTGGTCATTTTTGTTTTAGGACAGGCAGGTTTAATTAGTACTTTCTACAAGCCAAGACATTAAGGCTGCAGTTTTCGAAACAGATATGTGTTTCCAACACCATGGATGACAATGTCACTCGGGTTGACTTCATAGATGTCTAGTGGCAAGTCTGTACGAGATGGATACACAACCTTCAAGGTCCCTTCATGATCGATGACCCGGACCTGCTCCACAACAAGCTTCTGAATGGCACCAGCATCCCCTTCTCTGCTGTAAACAACCGTATCATCCTCCTTCGTGTCATCCCCTTTGTAACATCCTCCTGGGCGCCCCCACCCCATCAGCAACATCTCCCTCAGCAGTTCATCAGCCACCTTCTTGCACACATCCAGGGATGACGTGACTGGTCACCTCCACCAGAATGTCTGTCGCCTCCTTGGAGATCTGAAACACAGCAGTGAAAGAGGAGCTTTTACCAGTAGACTCCATTGGTCAAATCCAAGTACAGTGAGACCTCGGATACCCGGACCCCAGATATCCGGAAACCTCGCCTTCCGGTCAAGTTTTAGAAAAAAACAATCTCTTACGTTATAAAAGTGACTGTCTATAACGGATATTCCGTTTCGCTTCCGGACGGTACATTTTACAAACAAACCGGCTAAATCAACACAAAATTGACTCACCTATCCGCACGAAGCTTTGATCTACCGCTAACCGTGTGAAGGGAAGTGCGAGAGTCCCATGTGTTTTGACACGAGACATGGTCGGCTAATCCGGATTAATGATCATCAAGGTATTGGTGGTGATTAGAAGGCCTAGCTGACACTGAGTTAACCATTGAGTTCTAACTGTTAAGTTGTTTATTCAGTCACAGCAATAAGAGTGCAGTGTGTCGATATTCAAGTCAAGTCTTTCAATTGTTTCGGAAGTGATTTCAACCCCGAAGTGTATGCTCGCTACAGATTCAACACTAAAGCCTGGATGACATCTGACCTGTTCAGCGATTGGCTGGTCTACTTTGATAGACAGATGAGGTCGCGTGGTAGGCGTGTCATACTGCTTTTAGACAATGTCGATACGGAGGATCAGGCAGTGAAAGATCCAGATATCCGGATATTCAATTATCCGGACGATTTAGGTAAAAACGAATGTGTCCGGATATCCGAGGTCTCACTGTAGTCTGCAGCTCATTGTTTGTTTCTTATTTAACGCCCCCTCAGCAATATTCCAGCTATATGATGACAGTCTGTAAATACTCGAGTCTGGACCAGACAATCCAGTGATCAACATCATGAGCATCAATCTATGCAATTGGAACACAATGACGTGTCAACCAATTCAGAGAGTCTGACCACCCGATCCCATTTGTTGCCTCTTACAACAAGCATGGGTTACTGAGACCAGTTCTAACCTGGATCATTGCAGCCCATTCAAGACTACTGCAAAGTCATCAAGCAGTTTATCAAAATAGGTCTGTAGCTTGTTTCACATTACAGAAAATGTTATTTAGTTGTTTTACATGAAAACCGGTCTCATATCATTTCTTGTGGGTTATGTAAAGTAACTAGACTGTCTACATTGTTTTCTGACCGCCTCCGTGGTGTAGTGGTTAGAGCGTCCGCCCGGAGAGCGGAAGGTCGCGGGTTCGATCCTCGACCGCGTCATACCAAAAGACGTTAAAATATGGTACTTGTTGGTCCCTGCCTGGCGCTCGGCATTAATGGGTACAACAAGGACTGGTCAGCTCGGAGACAGTATAGAATGTGTCTGAGTGGGGTATTCATGCTTCACTGCGGCATGGTATCTCAGTGGGCTAGCACTATAAAACCAGCTTCAGTCTGGGCTAGTACAAGCAGCCGCACATACACATACACACACATGCACGTCGTCATATGAGCGAAATATTCTCAAGCACGACGTTAAACCCAATTTCACCTCACATAGATTGTTTCTTGTCTCAAACTGGCTGTTTATCGCTGCTCTGAAGTTCTTTTGTACAATCTAAGGTTTAGGGCATACGTAAGGGAAACAACTCTGTATAAACTTCAGAGCCTTGGGCAACTGAGACAGTAGTACCACCCAAAAATCTCCTAGAAAATTTACACATTACAGGAAGTGATTGGGTTAACTGCGATAATTATCTACATACACCAACTAACAACACAGTGCAACTCATTAAGTTAACAAAAACTGTTAATGGTTTGACTAAAGAGGTTTCTTTTTCTTGAAACTCTCCTTCTGCATGACTTACTTTGGTCTTGTCACTGTTCGTGATTGGTGGGAATGAGATCACATGACCATCTCCATCCAGCAGGCATGGGTACTGCACTTTATCCTTCAACAGATCCAGGTATCTATAAAGAAACATGAATAAAGGACATTATTCACCAAGAGGCAAGTGTTGACAATAAAGAATCAAGTTGACTGAAAAGTACCAAAGAATACATTTCAACTTAATATTACTATTCATACATTGTCAAAACTTAACCTAAATATCCTTATCAGTTGATTTTGTTAAAGGAAGCAGAAAAACATTTCCTTCAGCGGGGACCAACCATCTGATAATTGGGGTGGTGGGTCTCATTTTGACTGTTTACTTTTTTTCATCTACATCTGTAAAATCAAATGTTATAAAAACAAAACTATGAGTTGACTTTTTGATTTAAACAATTATTTTAAATCATTTTCAAGGATAATTTCGTTTCCAACAACATATCGGGTCCCTGTTACACATACTGTATGTTGGAGGCAATATTTCATTGTTTTTGTTTAATGTAACATTCCAGCTGCAAAACAGATCAGATAATCCAGGGATCAACATTTTGAGTTGACAATGACACCCAATTCAGCAGATCCTTTGACTGCCTCCTACGACAAGCAAGGGGACCAGTCCTAACCCAGACTCCCCACTGGTTTGAGGGAAGTAAGTTAAAGGTACCAACTTGTGGATGCCACTGTACGTGTTCCGTTTTTTCTCCTTCCTGAGATCATCAGCTTCTTTGCGCAGCTGAGCAACCAATGTTGCAGCTGTGACCTCAGCAGACTTGAACAGGGGCACAACCTGGAAGAACACAGTGAGTGGGTGGGTTTAGTTTTACTGGATGGTTGACTGACTGCTTGTTGACCATATTAAAAGGATCCCAGTTGGGGGTTGACTGACTGACTAGTGGTCAGTGGTGGACTAAGTGATGGACTGATTGTCCACACCACATTGTTTCTCATAATGACCCACCACTGTGACAGTATTGCAAATAATTTTAACCCATTAGAGCGGGGATTTCCACATGTTTTAAAACAGAGAGTAAATATTTTATTTTTGAGTTGCATTATCAAGAAAAATCTTCAAGCCACTTACCTTGATGTCGTGTGGGAAGCGTGCATCATACACAAGCACTGGTTTCACAAGTTTGAGGTCATGTGTAGCAATGGTGGCAGTGTGTCTCTTATTGCAGATTGTGTCGTGAAGCTTTGTCTGAGAAACATAAAACAGATGTTTACTTGTGCTCATATCAACTCTTTGTCTGCTGGACACCGCATTCTGAAATGCTCAAACATTTGAACTGCAGCCTGTAAATAATCCAGTTGGAGCAGACAAATGTAGAATATTTGTTTGAATACATAGACATGTAGTCAACAATGCTAAGGAATATGACCACTGATCATCAAAAGCATCTCTTAGTACTGACTGACTGAGTTTAGTTTTACGCCGCTTTTAGCAATATTCCAGCAACATCACGGCTGGGGACCAGAAATGGGCTTCACACATTGTACCCATGTGGGGCATCTCTTAGTAAACATTTATACAATCAGTATGATCGGAGTGCTGCTGTCCTACAAGATGTTGACAGATGACAGCTAAGAATATAACACATGATTTACATCCAAAATGTATTTATGTTCATAATTAATTACAAGAAGCAACATAATGGTATAACCTGAAGGGTGATGAACCTCTTGAACATATTAACAGACTTCTTGAAATTTAGATTTCGGACGATACAGCTGACAAAATATGGACGAACTGAGATGACTGCAGGTTTTACTTGTACAGTAATGCCAGTTTCCACAGGGAAATGGAGAACATCAATCAGATCTTTTGCCAGTTCTTCAACTTCGTCTTTTGACACTCCTTTCTTTTTCTTCTTCTTCTTATCTTTCCCTCCCTTTTCTTTCATCTCACTTTCCCGTACTTTCTGAAGTTGAACACCAAGGAAATTGAGCACTGATTTCCCATGACTCTGTTCCACCAGTTTAGTTAGTTTCCTGTCTTTGAATTTATTTCCTTTGACATTAAATTCTTTCAACTTCTGACAGTCACTTAACTCTGGCGGAAGTTCTGTAATTTTGTTGAACGACAAATCAAGAGTATGCAAGCGAACTAGGTTTGCTAAGTCAGCTGGAACCTGAGTGATGGCATTGTTATCTGCCATGATTTGCGCCAGGTACTCCAACTTATCATCTCCGATCCCGTCCGGCAGTGATTGTAACTCATTATGCGAGAGGTTAAGGATGTGTAGATTCGTGAGACAAGACACATCTGGGAATTCCGATAACTGGTTACCACTAGCGTTCAAAGACTGTAGTTCAGTTAGGCCATCAAGTTTTGGAAACGATTCTATTTTATTGGAGGACACGTCCAACAGTTTCAATTTCTTCAAATCCCCTACAGTTTCCGGAAGACATGTTAGTCTGTTGTTGTGCAATATCAGGGTGTTGAGGTTCACCAACTTCGAAACAGAAACTGACAATTCCGCAAGACATGTTTTCCGTACGTCTAGATAATTCAAGCCAACCAGATCGAACACATGCTTATCAAATCCTCTTTTCTCTATCCTTTCACTTATTTCTGAGCCATGGAGGTTGAGTTCTCGTCTGTTTTCTTCTTTCGCAGTTGCCACCTCTGGCCATATGTCCGCCATGCTGTTTTAGATGATTGTAGTTGTCAACAACAAGCAACAACCTATTTGACGATTTCAACAAACCTATGTGATTATCTACCACAGAGGCAATTTATTTAAATCTATTAATGTACGCACTCTAAGCATTGCATCTACAATTTTATAAATTCACTTTAACGCTAAAGTTACAAATGTATAGCATTCAATATGTACTAATAATTGATGAAGTCATCGGTAAATACTTTCTCAAGGCAGCACACAGGGGAGATAATTGAAGGGGCCCTGTTTAGGTGTTGTGTGTTAGCTCTCGTGATTTATTATTAGCGTTTTCTTATAGTTGCACTGACGTCCTGACCTATACATAAATGCTGCTTGTGTTGACTAGGCAGCCAGATATCTGTTTCGCATAAGTGTCAATAAAACATTTGTAGCCATCGACAAAAGCATTAAAATACGAACTATTTAAATACCCCCCTCCTTAGACATTCGGTTTTAAAAAATATGAGAAACAAATTCCTTGCACAACAGGCATTACGTATGCTCGCTGATCATGCATCAGAATAATCACAACAAGATTAAAGCAGTATGATAAATATTAAAATTTCTCTCTTATTTTAGCTGTTACAAACTACATCTACTTGTATCCCGCATTTGACGTAAATAAATTTCAGATTGAGAGAATAAATCCTTCACGCCCTGCTACCAAGCAAACACCTGCATATTGTTTAAAAGCCTATGGAAGAGGACACAAATGAATCTCAGCTTAATCAGGTTTTTCCTATTATGTTGTAGTAAGTTGTAATTCTTTCACAGTGGCAGAAATTCAAAACATGTTGATAAGATATGTTGCAAGTGCTGTTACAATATCCCCTGATGTGTAATACCTATTGCGAGACCCATAAAACAATCTATACCAGTGTAGGAAATAACCACAAAACCCAGCCCGACATCAGGGCTGGCAAATTAAAAAAGTTACCAGCCCAAAATGGATTTAACCAGACCAGCCACCATGGTGAATTTACTCAGATGTATGAAACTTCTACAAATTTTACCAGACCAATTGGACTGGCTAGCTGTAAATTCAGACCGTCCGTCAGAAATCTAGCCCGTCTCGGGCGGTTGGACGGGCCTTATTTCATACACTGTTTATCTTCTCATTGTACATAGTCCTGCTAATTATTCAAGGGCAGTGGTGTAGCCCAGAGGTTAAAGCGTTTACTTGCCACGCTGAAGACCTGGGTTCGATTCCCCACTCACTGCTAATTATTCCAGTACTTCACAGTACAATACTCCAGTTATATCACCACAGTCTGTAAATAATAAAACCTGGTCACACAAAACTGTAGAATGAAAAGGATGAGTATGATTTTACACCACTTTTAGCAATATTCCAGCAATTTTACGGCGGGGAACACCAGAAATAGGCTTCACACACTGTATCCAAAGATTAGAGGTGAGGTGAGGTGAAATGGGGTTTAAAATTGTATCGTCAAGTCACATAAGTTCGATCGTCATGTAACTTCGATCGCCCATTTTGAATGGTAATTGTCGCAATACGTAGCGATAACTTACGATATGTGCAGCTTTGATCTTCTGGTGACACCACTTTTATTCGTTTGGACCGGAAAATGTTTCGTGTCAAGTTACCAAACGTAAGTTATAGCTCATATTCAGCAAACAACTATTTTTTAACCCTAGATCAATAATGTAACTTTATCAGCTCCAATAAAATGTAAACAGTACTTATTTCACACGTTGTAAATTGACAGCACCCCTGTCTTCTGTTTGTTTACGTTGCTGGTCTAATTGTGACATGTCCAGACACGTGATAACCCTTTCAAAATTTAAAACTTTGGAAACAAGTAAGGGCCATTTCTTATAGAAAACTTAATGCTTTTTGAGAATTTCCGTGAATTTGTACCTGATGAAGTTCGAGCTATTGCCTCATTGATAAATACAACCTTGGCACAATGTACCCACCCTACATGTCAGCACAGAACACATTTACGTTTCTGCAAGCCAGTTCGTGGAGTTTGTCCACATTCTGAGGTTTGATGCCTGTCACGATGTGCCTGAAGAATAATTCCCTGCATAATACTTCTATATAAGCTGAATATTTGTGACTTTTCATCGTTTTTAGAAGTATTGAAACATAAAATGAACGTTTCATGGACATAAATACCATAAAATTACTTGGGACTGCTCTAACTCTGAATTTGACACAAGAAATCGCCCTTACAAGTCATCCTGTTTACGTGACAAGCAAGCCAATCATATGATCGAACTTATGTGACGTAGCTTTCTGGGTCACCTGTGTTGACAGTGAGAGGGCGGCCATGCCGCGATTGTGAAAAGCAGTAAAATTACCTGGATTTTGGAAATGTTTGACATAAATAAACAAGTTTAGAGGTAAGAGATTTGAAAATAAGATTATATGAATATAACTTTGAAAATTCAGCAACAGTTCTTAAGTGATCGAACTTACATGACACAAGGATACTTAAGACTATTCTGCTCATATGATGATGTACATGCGTGTGTATGTGTATGTGTGGCTGCTTGTACTAGCCCAGACTTAAGCTGGTTTCATAGTACCAGCTCACTGAGATACCATGCCGCAGTGAAGCATGAATACCCCGCCCAGACACATTATACTGACTCCGAGCCGACCAGTCCTTGTTGTACCCATTAATGCCGAGCGCCAGGCAGGGACCAACAAGTACCATATTTTAACGTCTTTTGGTATTGCGCGGCCGGCAACTGAACCAGCGACCTTCCGCTCTCCGAGTGGACGCTCAAACCACTACACCACGGAGGCGGTCTCCAATGATTAGATATAACCACTATTATTGTTTTATTTACAGCAGTATTCTGATATAAACGTTGCCTTTTCACATGAACAAATATATCATGGCATCAAATGAAAACAGCAAGTTTCTCATATTATGTTTTTGTTTATTTTTCAAAAAACATTTAACAAACAAAAGTCATTAACTGAAACACATGTGATTGTTATCTGGGTTAACCATGTACCTTTGTACAATTCAGGGCCGAATAAATATAGTCAATCGTGAACAATCCACTATCAATTATCGGAGGACTGTAGTGGTGAACGATTATTGATTATAATCGAAATATGTATATTTTTAATGTACTCATTAATTTTAAGGGGGTTCCCCATTTTTTTTCTAATTACTTTTTTTTATAACTAATACTGTCATGAAATTAAATGCACGCATGCAAGCAAGACACTGGAATTGTAATTAAACAAAAGTGGCTAAAATTTTACAATGACCATAGCTTTATGTTTTTGAGTGCGAATATTTGTCAACTTTAATGGTTAGTTTACTTAATTCAAGTGTGTTATACTAAAACATAAAAATTCCGATTTATCGAAAATAAGTTTTTTACAATCGATCATCATTATTAATCCTCAATTTTCGATCACCACCACTAATTATGACTTTTCAAAACACAACATAACCTGTAAACACATATGTTTATAGCGTAACTGTTTATTTCATGGAGTGTGAGAGAATATATGGAATTTCACAGCCTTTTGAAACATCCCTGCCACACAAGAAAGAGGCTTCACACAGTGTCCACCATTTTACTGCAAGAGTGAGTGAGTTTACTTTTACGCCGCACTCCGCAATATTCCAGCTATATGGCGGCGGTCTGTACATAATCAAGTCTTTACCAGACAATCCAGTGATCAAAAGCATGAGCATCAATCTGCGCAATTGGGAACCGATGACATGTGTCAACCAAGTCAGCGAGCCTGACCACCCGATCCCGTTAGTCGCCTCTTACGACAAGCATGGGTTACTGAAGATCAATATTCTAACCCGGACCTTCACCGGTCACAAGCCCTTATGAAAGTAGACACTCTTGCATCAGGAAGACGAATTGTATCCAAACCCAGGTGTTGGTGTGGGGGAGGCAATACACTGATCACCAGCTTACCCTCACCTGTCAACTTAACAGAGTAGAGACTCATTGAGTGAGCGACTTTTACAATTTGGCGAAGCTCACGAATATTGAGTATTTTATGTTTATTAGTTTTCGAGTTAGATTGCAATTCATCGGTCCGCTTTTGAGCCATATTGAGTACGGTTAGTAAGACAAATCTGGAAGCATCAAACACGGATGTCTGGCATGTCCAAGGGACACAACTCTGTACGGCAAACTCAGCGGCAGCACCTAATATGACTGGGTCATCCATGCCCAACTGAGAGTGTGAAGATCTTGATTATCAGTGTGCGAAAAATAGCCACTGGCCTGCCAGCCCATGGCTAGTAAAAATCCAGTTGGGCCAGTAAATCTCCACAGTCACTGGCCCCACTGGCTAGTGAATTTTCATGAGGTCATTTTGTAAATATATCACTCTCCGACTTGTAAAGTTATTACACACTTTTAAATCATGCAAGATTATGGCGTGATAAAGATGTTAATTATATTAGCAGCCTAATGATGAAACCGGCATCATGACGACAAAATCTTATTTTCATCTATTTTGTTAATCTTTTGCTTAGTTTCTACTTTCAAATTTTGGGCTAGTGAATTATTTTGTAGACTGACTTGGAAAATTTGGAAACTGTTTCGCACACTGATCTTGATACTCTGATATAAACACATGATATTTAATCTTATTTTTGCAAATTTCACATGGACAAACGAAGATAATTGCCAGACTAGATTCCTTAGGGTCTTACTGATGAGGCTTGTCCAAAAACGCTGCAGACAGCAATAGCATGAAATGTGTGCTGGCGATTAGGTGCCTGACTGAGGGAGTGGGTTCGAATCCCGGATGGGGCTCAACTAAAAAAAGTACTAGAATTTGTACTTTATTAAGAAAGTGTAATCCCAAATATAACATACGTTACATATGTAGCATAAAAATGTAGTTTTTAACTTGTTGCTGTTTCTGTGGAGAAAGTCAACAAAACTGAAAATACAATTGGTTTGACTTATGGTGGTATGAAAACTAACATTTCACACCTGAAATCATGAAAACCTATTCAGTTAGCTCATGGAAAAATATTCTA